CGGCGGGCGGCGACCGAGCGGCCCGCGCTGCTCACCTCGCGGCCGGGCGCCCCGGTGCCGGGCCGGGCCACCGCCACCGCGGCCGCAGCCTCCGCCTGGCGCCGCCGCGCAACGCCCGCTCGGCAACCGGAGAGGCGCTGCCCGAGCCCCGCCCTCCGCTCGCGGCGCGCTATTGGCTGAGAGACACGTCATCACGCGCGGCCCCGCCCAGACCCGCCCCTGATAGGGCGGGGCCGGCGGAGGAGACCGCAAACTACAGGTCCCGACGTGCCTTGCGCGGGGCGGACGCGGACTCGCGGGGCAGCGTCGGAACGGAGCATGACGGGAATGCGAGGCTGGGAGGGGAAGCGGCGTACGGAGCCCGCGGGTTCCCCGGGTTCAGGCTGGGCCGGACTGGGAAGCGGCGCCTGGCCTCGCCGTGGGACCGTGGAGCCGTACCCCAGATCCCATCTGCTGCCGCGGGTCATTTCCGAGCAAACACGCTTCACTAGCAGGAAGCGGGGCACGGAGCACGGCCCGGCTCTGCGCGGGGTGACGCTCACACGCATCCCTAAACCCCAGTGCACAGAGCGGGGTGGGATTCTGGTGGGGCTGCCCGCACCCGGGGAAAGGCTCGGGACCGGGGTCGGTCCCACCGAATGCTCCTCCACGGGGAACGGGCTCACATTGCGAGCGGGGGAACCTGCAAAGGAGGGGGAGGGATGAATGCGTCGGTCCTCGGCCCACTGAGGAGCCGTGAGCACCAAACCCTGTGTGCCAGTCTGGAGATGTGCACGGACCCGCCCCTGCGTGTCCCCACCTCGGTGGTTCCAGCATCCCTCGATGGGCTCGAGCTCATTTGCTGCCTCGGAGCCACACCATCCAAAGCCCCTTGGGAGGGCTCCTTTAGACGAGGCTTTGTTAAAACAGCCTTCCCGGAGCCACTGAAAATGCATGAGGAAGCACGGAGCGCTGGGCTGGGAGCCGCAGCCCTGATAACGCCCATCAATCCACCGTCCTCACCCTGACATCCTCACCCAGCCCTACCTGGGGTGGGTCACCCCAAATGATCCCCAGTTAACTGCTCAGTTAACTGTTGCAAGTTAACATACGGGTAAAACACACATGCAGTGCTTGTTTTCTTTGGGAACGATGAGACATTCACACGTGCCAGCAGTACGAGGCACAGCCCAGCCGATGGATCAGGGATTAACCTCCCAAAACTATAAACAGAGCCCTCGGTGCAGTGTAATTGCTGAGATTTCCTTTCGGCATCGTCACATGCTTTGCTGGTTAGGAAAGGAAAGTATTTCTCAAAGGCAGAACTTCCATCTAGGATGGAATTTTACATGCACTGAGTTACATTTTCCTTCACAAAAATCACGCCTGTGTGAAGAGGCAGATCAAGTGTTGTGCCAGCACTGGGAGCTGTAAGATGGAATAAATAATAAAGGCAAAATGGGGTATTCAGGAAAAAAAAAAAAGGACAAAAAACTGAGCAAGATTATCATCTTTGAATGATGGCTGGCAAAGCCTGCTTGTCGCCTGCTAGAAGGCGTGTGTGGTGGGAGGCAGAGAAGACCTGAAAGCTTTTACTGCTTCTTGTCTGGGGACTTAGCTGGATAATGTGAATCTGAGGGTAAATTAGTGCCACAGCCTCACCAGCAGTCTCTTCCCCAAGGAAATGCCAGCACTGGGCCAGTTTGAATTGCTGTGGAAGACGATGCTGATCATACCTTGTAATTAGGGATGACGTGAGGTCAAACGCTCCCGAGCAGGATCTCTGCTAAGTTGTTGTAATGTCTCAGCGCAGCATCAGAAAAGGATGGGGGAAAACTATTTCACATCAGTGACTGGAAAGGAAGAGGACAGACATGGCACGTGTCCAGCAGAAGAAACTCACAGGCTCAGGAACCATCACGGATAAGGACATCGAGTCCAAAACAGTAAGCAGTGCAGACACCCGTCCTGCATGGCACTGGAGAATGACGTTCACTGAGAGCCCTTAATCCCCAACTGGGCACCCAAGGCTCTCAACCCACGAGATCCAGGCTCTGGAGATTGTGCAGAATCTTTTTCCCTCTGATATCTCGCCACCCCTGGTGTCAGTATCAGCCCTCAGTAACAGACCTGGTGTTGGAATGCCTAACGTGTTTGGCAGGTCCCCAGCAGGAAGGTCACATTTGCTGCTTCGTGCTGTCCTCAGGGCTTTCAGGTCACTTGATCCCAAAGGGCAGCCAGGATTAGAACCATCCTGAGCTGTTTTGTCTTACGGACGAATTTGAAAAGGCAGCATATGAGGAACATTATTTCCACAATATCAAAAATAATAAAGTTTCCCTCAGCCTTTAGTGAACTAAGCTATGCAGGCATGGGAGGAAATAGAGGAATGTCATTGAATTACTCCAGTGGAAACATGAGAGGGGCTAAAGTGTAAACCTGCTCTGCTGTGCACCAGGTCAGGATGTCTTTCCACCACTCTGACTTAATGCTGAAGGCAGATACATTACTAAGAGCATTCGCCCACTGAATGGATCACAATCCAGCCTTACTCAAACCTGGAGTAGAGAGAAATACTCAGGCACTGATGCTGTACAAAATAAAATAGTGAACTGTGTACAGGGCTGTTAAGCACTGATCATTAACGTTCCTTGATGGAGGTGCTCCTCCTTAAGCTCTGTTCCAGTTTCTGCAGCCAGCGATGTTCCACCCAGAGCCAGGGGGAGCAGATGGTGGCTGGGGGACTTTGTGCCACTGGGATGAAGGAAACACACCATCACAGGTAGCAGTACCTGTTAATGCTGCCTCCTCTGGTGATGTCCTTAAGAAAGCTGCAAGCCCTCGGCAGCTCCTGTGTTTGCCTGCTAAGGAAAATCCGGACCAAACACCTACTTACAGAGCTCCATTTTCTTCCCATCATGCTGCAGCTGAAGAGGCAGTGCTGTCAGAGGCTGTGAGCAGCCACAGGCAAACCAAACAGACCTGGCCATGGACAACTGAAAGCGTCCGACATCCCTGCAGCCATAACCCCTGCTCTTCTGTGATGCATCCAAGCACAAGGATGAGGCACGGGGTTGGAACAGGAAACGTATCCTGCGAATGGAGGTGCAGATTGCCAGCACACACACCCTCCTCAATAGTCCTCAGTTCCCTTGGACGAGCTGAGGTCCCCCTGAGACCAAGGAAAAGAGGGCAGACCCAGCATGCCTCTCTGCTGCAGTTAGTGCAGCTGCCTGGGAGCGCAGAGCAGCAGCGGGTGCAGTGATGCTGCATTGTTGTTTCAGCCAGGGCAAGAGGAGCAAGCAGACCTGGAGAGTGTGTGCTTTTAGGCAAGGACTGCAAAGTACAGCAAAGTACCCAGCAGGACATCACACTCCTGTGCACAGAAGCACTCTCCCCAAGGCAGGAATAGCTTGCTGGAAAGGGGAACAGACATCAAAATGAGCATGCTGTTAGTACAGGATGCAGGAAAGCCAGCTGCTGCTGCACTGCAGAGCTGCAGTTCAGTGCAGAAACACCCTCCTCCGACCAATGTGTCCACAGGTCCAGAGAAAGAAGTGGCTTTTAATACTTCATCTGAAATAACTTAAAAAAGGCTTTGACTACCAGAAAGTGCAAAAGATGAGGCAGCACATGAAGAGTCTCCCATTTGTGTCCTGAGAAGCAAGGGGTTGTACTGACCCTGCACAGTGCAGCACATGCTTCCCCAAGCTGCTTGAGCTGCACAGCACCAGGCTGCTGCAGTCCTCTGGCAGAAGCTTTGTAAAGCTGCCTTTGCCTTAGACTGCAGCTGAAGGAAAGAGCCCCGAGGCTTGGCAGGATCCCAGGCTCTCAGCTGCCTCAGCTTGCTGCTGTCAGCTCGGGCAGTTTGGGGTTGTGCACCCTGCACTTCCAATTCTGCTGTCAGCTCAGGGCTCAGCTCTCCCCACCTCACTACTGGCTGCTGAAAAACATCGATGAGACTTTCTGTCTCTCATGTAGGCACAGTCAAACAGCAGCCTTTGTTTCTGGGCCTGCAGTACCATTGTTTCTAAGCTCAGTACCCATGCTGGTGCTGCATCCAAGCCCGATGCAAAGGAAAAGAACAAACATCCTGCAAACCCAAATAATCCCACTGTGCAGCCTTCAGCGTGTGACCAAAAGCTGCTCCTCTCTGCTCCGATCGCAGGCCGAAGCATAAAAGGTTCAGAACATCCTTTGGTGGAACGCACCTCAACGCTGTGATTTAGAACCACCAGAAGGGCTGTTTTTAATACGGCTCTGTGAATTCACAACAAGATGTACACAGCATCAAATGTTCAGGAGGTACTTCCTTGATTACACTAAATGCTGGTTCCATGAGGCACTGGCGGGTTTAACCTTTTGCTCCAAAAATAATCATTAGCCCCTGGTGCCAGCAGGCAGACATCTCAGGTAGGATGAACACTGCATTAACAAGAAACAGCTTGGAAACCAAACCAGTTCAAACACACGGTAGGGGAAATGGAAAGTTGAAGAATAATATTTAAAAATATTTGTCTTCAAAAATTCAGCCCCTCCCACGTTACCAAAATGTAATTAAAAGGATCCAGCAGCTGCTGGCTCTGAGATACCTTTGGTCCAAAAGCATTAGGAATCAATATGTTTTTCTAAACAAGTCTTGCAGTCCTGGCTCTTGTGGTTGCTTTGTTTTTTGTTCTGTCTTGTTTTTTTACTCCTGTTTCTCTCCTTTGTGTTTCCAAGGGTAGATCAGCTCTCCAAGGAACAGCTT